TACTTGTTTACTGCAACTTCGTAATTTTTCCGATATGATAACAAATTTGGATACACTGATCCGATTTTGAATAGAAGCTGAATCACGATCTGTTTTATAGGGATTCGCCTATTTTCCTTTATCAGAGTCTTTCTATGTAGAACAAAAAAAGCCAAATTGAGATTTAAATTGTGCGGACTTAATCAAGAATTTATTACGTTTGAACATATTCAGCATCAAGAAGATATTTTTACTTTTATCAGAATGATTCGCTGGAAGGCCAAAAGGCGCGCTGTTTATTAATGCAATCATTTCATAAAGTTCTATTTTTTTCATTTTCCTGTGAATTAAAACGGGAAATTTCATAAAGGAACTTTGTTTAAAGAATGGCCGCCTAGGAACTCGTTTAGCACTAAATGTTAATCTCTGACGACAGAGGAAGTAATACAGCCGTTCCCATGTAAATGTATCACGTACGAACAAAATGAAATATAAAAACTTTATTACGTAATTATGTTTCTGCAACACTTTAGACAGATTACTGCTGATTATTATAAAGGGTAATGAAAAAGTGAAGCTGTACGATCGCTTGGACATGTGAAAATAATGAATCGGAGGCGTAATTTACTTCGACGCTTAATGAGGATCATCCAAGAATAACGGAATTATTTGCGAGGAACGATTATCAATTGTTCGTTAATCCTACCTAACAGCGTCGCGACTCAATCATTTTAGTTTAATTATCAATTATAATGTGAATGTATAATCCGGCTAATAATTTACTTCGCGTTTCTCATTAACGATGCATCAGAATAATTACAGATAATCGCTATTGCCATAATTCCAAGAATAATATTTCTTTTTCCAAAATGATTTATTTCATTCCTCTCGATATTTTGAATTGTTTCGCTATTTTTGGGTCGTCCTGTAGACGAGCTGAACCCTCGGTAAATCTAAAATCTACAATTAGGGCAAAAACCGGAGTTTCATTGCAGCGTGAACGCACACCCTCTGTGCACGCTGGTGATCATCCAGTTTAATGCTTTCCCTTACTCAATTACATTTCGGTATGTGAAGAACGTAAATGGTCGTAATTAAACCTCCGTTTATCTCCATATTCCATCATATGAAAATGATGTTTAGCGCGTCGCCTGCGGCACTTTTATTTCAGGTAATTCTCTATAATAAACTACCTAACGTATTTTGTACTTCAGTTAATTTCTTCTAAAATATGCAAATAACTAATTCTGTAAAACCGTTTTCTTTTCTTTTTGTAGCAACGTATATAGCAATGTATTACAAAGAAGTTTGCGCATGCATTCGTAATGTAATAAAAATTTCCATTTGTAATAACAATCGCAGTCTACGAAAGATTTAATTAATCTAACAAGATCTGATTACGTTGGCAAATGAAATTAGTAATGATAGCAAAAATATTATAATACGAATCTAAAAAAAAAGAATACGTTCCTCTCCTGAATGATAAAACATGTAAGAATCTAGATTAAACCTCAGACTATATTTTACTCGGTGTATTAAGAAAATTGTTAAAAAATATTTTCTACAACCTTTTTCCCACGTATTTCGGCCACAAATTGCTGCGTCGCTTTATCATATTTTCAAATTTCCTATACCGCACGAAAAACCAAATATATTTTGTATATTTTTTAAACTACACTGTGGCTATCATATAAAAGCGTTTCGCGTTACACCGACTCTCGGGCATTATTTATTCGGCTATTCAATTATTTCGTGCCATTATTTTTTTATTATTTCGCGTGTTTCTGTTTAAATTGACAAAGCGAGTGCTCGTTCCATATCAAATTTAACCTACTTGTTTAATGGGTGTACGAAGTATTCTGGGTGTATCATTACCAAGCGGACTCGATGGCAAATACACATCAGTATTTATATGATTACGATTAAATGACGAATTCTAAATTCGTATTTGACTTAAACGTATCTATAAAAAGAACGGAGAACCGAGTCTGCAGATAAACAATCGAATCTTTAATTGATTCGGACACTGACTGGCAACTAACGTTCGATTTAATTAAGGATTAAAATTATTTAATTGGAAGATATATTTGCTAGCTCAATTCAAAAGAAAGTGGTTGAATTCTACTTCTTAATTAAAGAGTACTCTAATTGTACTTTAGAGAAATTTCAATCGTTAAATATTAATGCGGTAAGTAAAGAATCTGCAACCCTTCGAGGAATTCTCTCACAAGAAATAGAAATAAACATTTTTCCCTGATTTCACGGATGTAATAAACGGCGTATTTAAAAAGCAGTTGACCTTACTAAGGGATGGGCGTTTATACGTATTTGAGGAAAACCAGCGACCCGTTCGCCACTCCCTTTTTATTTCCCCGCGAAACCGTGAACTTTTTTATATCGGGACACCTGGAGCGGAAATATCCGGGGGCGCAGTCGTAAAGAATAAATCCTTACCCCGGGTCCCACCTTGGACGAGGACTCGTCCGAGCAGCCGCAACAGCCCATCCCGATGGAACGTAGTAATCCTTGGAAACAACCCGGGGACTGGTCCTCCCGGTGATCCTGTCCGCGCTCGGCGTCGCCGCCCGCTGTCACGGATGCGTCCGCTTCCGGGAATAAATTAAAACGGAAATTCTTTTTAAAAAAACACAATCGAGAAGAGAACTGAATTCCGGTGCGCCGTCGCGGTGGGTACGTTTCGCGACGCGGAAACTGAGCGGCTCGCGTTGGGAAACTGACCGCTCGGCGCAACGGAACTTCTTCGAGTAGATAAGTATAAAACCCGATAAAAAGATAAGACGCGGTGACAATAACCACGTCAATTTCCGTAATTTTATCGGGTATCAGCTGTCTTAAGCAATAGATTAATAAGAATTTCTGTGGTGTGTTAGATAAACGGAGTTTATTGGGATAATTACTATCTCTGACGTTTCCTTTTGTATCATGCCTTAATTATGTATAACTATATTGCCTTATGCCATGAAAGACAGAATAGATATTGACGTGGACTACTTCGGCTGAGAGACCTTGCATCGTTCATACTATTTCTACAAATATTAACAGAAAAGTAAACGGACAAGGAAACTAATTTTCTCGAGGAAGAGAATAAATTAGGATTGCTTCTCCTTTTTCCAATGTCTCTCTGTTGCATCTGTTTTACTTTGCATGACGGCATGATTTGAATACGGTCTGGTTTAAAAGCGAGCGGCAAAAATGGAGATGCAGAATTCTGCGTGCACAACAAACGAAGCAAATGCGAAACTAATAATAATGTAGCGCGAACGGAAGTTGAAACCCGTTGGGACGATCTGACCTATATGTTTCCACGTGTGGATTAAACCAATTCGGAGCCGTGGATGCTGTCCAAAAATGGTTCAACGCAATACTCGAAACGAGCAATAAAAAAGAGTAACTATGAATATACAACCCCCGGGAAACTAGGTTACAAAATTGTAGGGTTTAAAAACTAGTTGCGGAACGTCCACCGTATCGTACCGTCGTTCGGTTCTCACACATTTATAATATAGAATTCACAAAAAATATCATTCAAAATCATACTTCACTGAAGTCAATACACGTACAGCTGGAGATGATGATTCTCAGACCATTTTTGATTATGTTAATCTTCCCTACAGTCGCTGTGTGTTAAACTGACCTTTGGACAATTGTAGAACGTCTGTTACCTGTTACAATGATTTATGAACATCTTCGGGTGTTGTTCTCTTAGGAGAAATTAACATCATAAAAAATAGTACATATGTACATCGATACCTTCATTCGAATACCACGTATCAGCGTTTTACCACGAAATGTGAATTTTAAATATTCCTACATCATACTATTTCAATTGTGGATTAAATAAAAATCTATAAAAAGAATAATGTAAAATATAAAACTGTACGAACTTTTTTCTTTGTAAAATTTGACTTTTATACGTCAGATACGTAGTTTTAGACTGGAGGTATTACTAGATATCGATATGTATCTATCTACTATGTACTAACCTCTTTCTACTTTTTCAATCATACGAATAGCTCCATTGCGTGGAAAAAGTTGGAAACATTCACTAAACCGTGACAGATTAAACAGTCAATCCGTAGAAGCATGGATGGAATTAGTAAAAAATATCGCAAAAGCCGCACTAATTACGACCAAGATGGTCGACCGTCAGCCGCGAGGTAGAATTTAGCATGAAAAATTGTATACTGCTTTTTTTTTTATCATTTCCACTGGGTGTCATTAATATTTCCCGAGACATCCTCTCTCGACGCAGGTCACGTCAGTTTCGATCGATTAATCGAATAAGCCTGCACGCCACGCTGAAATGACTGCCACATAAGGCTGGCTGGTTGCGTTTACGTTTTTAGTAAAATCGTTTTTATATCACCTGATGAAAATATCACATGAAGCAGTAGATTACAGACGGAACGTTAATAATTATAACAATGAGAAAGAGTGCTGATACAACTTTTGGTCAGACTATAACACTTCGTCTTCTGATTAATCAATAGAATCACGATTGCAACGAGTCGATCATCGACCGGACGTGTTCTTTGTCAGCCTTCTATACGTGATATCAATTATACTCATTTGTTCGCTACAAATGCATACTTATGCCGTTAATCCATTCAAAAGGTTTTCTGGAACGCTCCGTCCGGTAAACAAGCATTTAACTGCTCGTGCGGGGAACTCGTAATGATTAATGCACGAGATGAATGAATAACTTTCGCGTGCGCAAAAATCACCCGTGATGTCTATAAATAATCTAAACTGTTTTCCCATACACAGTTCGAGACTCCGCCACATTTTTACCATTACCAATATTCCCTCGTTCCTTCCATATTTCATACGCGCAGATGTTATAATTTTTAAACTACACTTCACTCGTATCCTCTCACGCTTGTATAAACGATCAATTAGAAAATTTCAACTCTCATTTACTGCACGTTTTATCATAAATATTTAGAGTCAGCTTCACGAGTCAGGATAAGCAAATTCTGTAGATACTTTCTAACTTCCGTTCAGAAATATTATGAATGCGAACATACCATTCCGACGCACCACAGCGTACTGCATTTCACGCGCGGGGAATCGATCACAGGCGACAACGATAATAATCGAATGTGTATCTCATACTTTGTCCACGAGCCTGTCTACTAACACCTCGCGTATCCTACCTCGCAATTCCTCTCTACAATAGGATTACTTGTTTCAAATAAAAAGAAAAACTGGTGCAAAGAATTTTGTATCGTTCATTACGTATGAAAAAATTGTGTTCATGGAATGGAATTGAAAAATATATTGATAAAAACGTAAGAACTATCATGTATGTATGGCATGCAAAGTAGAAAACACACGATTAAGGAGGGAAATGAGTAGTGGGTGGTATTAAATGGAAAGCGAGGCAGGTTTCGATGTTCGATATAGGAAATCGTCGTTGCGATCGTCGAAGAGTCGAACGCGATGTAAGAGAGCATTTTCGCGAGTCGGGGAACGATTTCGCGCGATGAATTTCGCGTCGGGGGTTGCTTTTTCCCTTTGGTCGATAAGCCGACCAGGCAACCGGCAGGAACAATACGACTTATCGAGCGACACACATACTCGGTTATTGGGCACGTCGGATAAGAGAGGCGAAAGGATCGCGGCAGGAGAAGAAAAGGGGTAAGAATGAGCAGGGTAAAAAACGGCTGGGAACGTGGCTGTTAGGCTAGTCTCGAAAGCACCGCGACCGTGTCACTTGGGATCGAGGAGGCGGTACGGTGGTGATTCTGCGAGCCACGCGAATCTATATAGTTGCATCTTGATCGAGTTTTTTTTAAATTAACGTACAATCCTACGAAAAAGTGACAGAATATATTAGAATATTAGAATTAATTCCTAAAAATTTACTGCTTCAGTGTTTTTATTTAAGAGCTCAACCCTAAGGAGTTCTTGATTCTCAGGGAATGGATTGAATTAAATAATGCAATAATCACGGATAATTAGTTTTTTCGTTAATTGTTTAATTGATTGAATTATAATACAATAGTTTAAACTGTTATATTTTTCAATAGTATCATAACACAGTATACAACGAAATCTGTCGTCAGAACGAGAATATCTTAAATAAGGCAGGTGTTGGGAGAAATAAGAACAGCTGTTTACACAGCTGTTTGCCTCCGAGTAGAGAGGAGGCCGCATTTTCAAAGGTCCTACTCCTTGCGGGGAACTAATATTACGAAAATTCCGAGACATCGATCCTCGAGCGAATACCGGGTCAAATTCTCCGTTCTTCGCAACGGTGGCTTCGGAAGCTAAACCTACCTGCCGATACCGATTCAAAAAAAGCTATCAGACGATCCGAACGACTTCAATTGGAGCCTACCAATTATTGAATTAAGAATATAATATAGAATAGACAGACGAAAATTAGACGAGATGCAGCCGCAATAGTCCGTTTATCAATATTTTATTTTAGTTGTCGCGATATTGAAAATTGAATCATCAGATAACTACGTGTCCGTATAATTACTATTTATACATTTTAACCTTTCCATAGTTTAATTTATAACAGATGAAGAAACGTCTATTTCTATTTAAAATAAAATCTCTTATAAATTACAAAGATAGAGAGTTCCTGCGTTATTCTCTAAATAGTCTAAATCTTTACAGAAATATATCCTTCGAATGACCTGTAATTAGATTACAGATTTTATGCACTTATAGTAAAATGATATGAAGAGAGAATATGAGATATTCATTCAGTGTCCAGGGACACAGAAAATAAATTGAAATGAATATTATGATTTTTTTAAATGAAAAAAAAATTTGCTATTTAGATTTCGTTTTCTATACTGACATTACAAACAATTCGTATCGCAGTATTTTATCAGAAGTATTCAATTGTGCGAACACGTGGCTCTTTCGATTTTCTCGCTGATTCACGATTTCCCATGGTTGGGTATACATACAAGATCCTGCGTTACGATTAACAGTTTTAACGGCGATCATTAAAACCAGGAACCTGGTAGATAGTGGCAACGGTGCCTTGGTGGCAGATTCGTGAAGTCGCAACGTCGTAATGCTGTCTTATCGTTCTGTCAAACATTCGTTCGACGAAGTTCATATTGAAAATCGACGATTATTTATCGCTCGTATATCTGAGATGTTATGTAACGTCAGTGAACTGTGGGCACGTGACCGTGGGACGTGATAACGATTTCGTTTTCATCCTCGGGGGAACGGGCTAGGTAAATTGGTTCTAGACATTGTTGGAAAATTATGGTAACAGTAAGCGCGATCGCTGCTTGCGGCAATAATTGTTTAGAAAAACTTAGGTTGACTCTTATATGAGAAATTATAAACTGTTTTATTTCATTGATTCATAAATTGTATATAATAGCATAGATATAAACGAACAGATAGTTTAAACAATACGGAGAATATAAGTGATAAAATGATCGAATCCGTGTCACTTGTATCGGCAGAATTGATTGCTGTATTAATGATCCGAGATTCAATTGCACGAGATAATTTCGTTCTGAAAGACGGGAAATTGGTTCTATAATTATAATATAAGATTGATGAGAGCCAATCAAATTCATTATTGTCCGTTTACACCGTAAATTGACGATACGTAAAACAAGGGAAATTTATAACAACTGCGGATGACTACTATTGGAGGATGAATCAACGGCGATGACATGACGAAAGAATGGCATGTCGGAAACAAAAGAATCATTGAAATTTATTAACAGATAAATTAAAATTTATTGATAAACCGCTTGAATTGAAAAATGCGTTCTTCGAGATCGAACGTTCTGCAGACAAATAAAATCATTTTAAATGGCGTAATTGAAATTTTCAATGTAACTCGGGAATTTTTGATCGTTTAACGTTTCAAGTCATTACCAGGACGCTGCAAACGACCTCGCGGAAGTTCAGCCGAGTTTCAAGACGCTTCTTCATTGTGAAGATCTATGGACTTTTAAAGTTTCATACTGTAATCCATCTCGTCCTGGCTAAGTGCTACCGATTGTCGGAGAAAGTCGGATATAGATTTTTGAAATGACGGGTCCCTCGTCTCGGCTAAACCCATTACGAACGACGTTATTTCACATATAAAACTCATAGTCACTGAAGGGCTACAACGCAAAATATATAAAAATGAAATCTTTCATAATCGTTCATTTAACAGTTTCCAAAATTTTAATCACGCGTTTTTACAAGTTTATATCAAATTTCAAAATTTGACTATTCTATTATTGATAGAACTGGCTTATCTGTATCGTTATTTTGAGAAACACTTCAAAGGCGATCTTCGAGGAAATGTTTTCCATATCTTTCGATATATCACACTACTCTTAATCAATTAATTCGACACTACCAATGAAAGCTTCGTAATAAATATTGCCAAGAATTCTCTAATTGAATGATTGGGTACACGTCAAAATTATCAGCCGCTATGTTCATACTAAAGTGGTTGTCGAACATTGTAACATCATCGACAATTATTCGATATTAATAATAGCGGCTACGGGCATTTATCATCGCGACACAGTCATCAGGTGACCAGGTAACTAGATTAGCATCGTTACATCTAGCCATCGGCGACGACCGTCAATACAGCGGGATTCGAAACAATGATATACTAACTCTCGCGTCTGTACAAATCGATAATGAATCATTGCAATATTGAAAAATATGAGACAAGTGGTCGTTGTGTGATTGGCAGTCATTACTCTTTTATTAGATTCCACAGTGCGTTTATCTTCGTTTATAAAAATAGTTGATAAAGTATTCCCAGAAGGAGATACTGTTTCAGAGAATAGATAATTTTTTTAAAATCCAAAAATTGATTAGGAGTTATTTTACAATGTATTTAGATAAGGAAAGTATGTTCTAATAATTTTTATCAATATCGTTCAGTTTTTGTAATTAGTGATTTTAGAAAATGATTTCTCGTTCTAACTGGTTCGAATTGAGATAAGATTGTAATCTCGACTTCACAAAAGGACTTTTTAATAAATTTTCGAGATAGTGGAACTCACGGATTTATACCGGCATGTTAAGCGGTACAGAAAATAAAGAACTTAATCGTCCAAAGAATTTTATGCATTTATTATCGAACAGTGATAAACTATAATGATTGCTACATTATTTATGAGAAGGCTCAGTGTCTTCAATTAATGCCATTTGAACAATAAATCCTGTTCGAGCAGTTGCAACAGAGGATTATACAATTGATTTACGGCGTGTAATCTGATTTACGTTTCGTATAACTTTATACCGTGCCTTGCAATTCTTAAAAATGAAATTGTGAAGTCTGAGACCCGAATTCGAGTCTCTTAACTAGAATTTTGAATTGTGTCAAGGATATCATTTTCGCAGCAATGCCAAGTATAAAAATTCTCTATTCATCTCAAAGGAAATTAAAACGGGAGTGAGCCTCGTTAGAGATTTATCTAGGGGCGTAACGCAATAAAAATTCTCTACACAAAATAGAAGAATGCGAAGAGAGGTCTCGAAGAGAAGAAAGCAGGGAGAGAAAAATTAACGAGCATCTTTTTAGAAATAGTGGCGAAGGACGTAACCATAATGGTCGCCGTTGGTGCACAAGAGTAAATAATTGGCAATCGAGGAATGCGTCGCGGAGCCTCGTTACACGAAGATACCCTCTTCGAGTCCTGTATTCTGCGTAAGAGATCCCGGAATTATTCCAAGGAGGTATTGCGTGCTCGTTAGCCAACAGCGAGGCTGCGGAGCCTCCGCCGCCGAGGTTGCCGGAAGTCGCGGGCAACTGACAATGACAATGGTGTCACGGCGAAGACTCTCTCGTTAACACGCCCCGCGATGTCAATCGGCGTAGCGAACGGCACGGAGTGAATCGCGGATCCCACTTAATACCTGCGGCGCGGCATACACTCATCGCTTCACGGTGATTCCGTGAAGCCAATCGCAACATCGTTGGCCTGCAGGTTCTGGTTTTGTATCATTCCTCGAAGTAATTCAGATGTTATGGCACATGAATAGATAAAAAAAAATTTTCCATTGCTTTAATTAATTAATTCTCATAGGAAACTACTGAGGTTTCTTACGACTTCTCTTCGAACTCTACACTATTGATTTTATTTGTTTATCAAATTGACCTTATAAATTGACATAAGAATCTGATTGCATATACGAAACAAAAAAGACGGCGATGACGTATCAATTGAGAGTAATTAAGCAGCAGATGAATTCTTAATTACTAATTGACTTTAATAGCGGCGTCCCAGTGGTCGTGCGCACAAAGTAATTGCTGGATCCAATTAAAACGATGTTATATCACTCCGCGAACCTGAGTCTAACAATATCGAGCAGTCGTGTAACGGATTAATCGGAAGAAACAGGGAGGATCGAAATGGAAAAGAGAAATGAGGAAGATATTGGGGAGACTAAGAGAAAAGAAACTGTAGAAGCCGTGGATGGGCTTCGGGTGATTGGGGTCGTGTGCTGGAGGGTGTGATGCAGCTGGAAAAGAGAGGAACGCAGGAATAGATGAGAGTGATTGAGATATTGGATGGAGGTGTGGGAGTACAGTGGATGAGAGAATGGATAAGAATTAGTTATGGGGAGAAATAGCAAGGAGGAAGACGTGAGTAACAAGACATGTAAAGAGACAGGGTAGGCAGAATGTAGCATGAGATTAGGAAGGATCGTAGCTCAGATGGGAATAAATATAACAATAGCAGACTAGTCGTGTGAACAAAAACTATACGCGTTATTCACTGGCGAATGAATAACTTTTGAGACGAGGATCGGGGTTGAATTAACATTTCTCGCGGAGAGTCAGATACAAACGGCAAGTGTTTGCGGTAGTATGAAAGAGATTGAGTGGCTACTTGAGATGCGAGAATCTGTTCCAGGAGAGGAAACGTGTGTCTGAATGAATCCGAGGTATGCGGGAGGAATTTTAGCCGAGGAGAAACGAGTGATGCGAATAACCGTGTTTCGAGAACGCGTCGGATTCTGAGCCGGACGGGTT